GTAATAGGATCCAAAGCCGCCATGGGGCATCGGCCAAAAATTCAATTCTCTTCAACCGAGTCGGGCCACTGGGTAATGTGACGCGATGTAATTAAGAAAGATCAATAGCATCATCGGATTCCGCTACCATGGGGGGTGTGCGCACCATGTAATCTCTCGTTCAATCTCTCCAAAGAATCCTTAGGTCCACCAGACACACTGACAAACACCCTCTCCTTCCCAATTTCTTCGACCAACGCAACCAAATTATCACCCCATAAGCCATCTATCATGTTTGAATCCACTATATTTGCGGCAATAAATACTCTCTCATCGCTGGGTACCGAGAATTTAGGAGGATTCGTATAACTTGCATTGAAGATAATCTGCCAACATAGTAACAAGATGAAGAATAAAAAGATGTATGTTGGTTTGCAGATTCTTCTAAAGGCTCGTAAAATTTTCGAAGCTAAGCGCCGTGAGGAAAGTGATTTATCTTTGAATTCGTAAGTAAAGTCGGCGGCATCGAGCGAGTTACGAGGAAGAGGATAGTATCGAGGGGATGATGACCGAGCCATGGCCGAGATATAATTTTTGATTCCCGCCAGGGATTCTTCTTGTTGTTAAAGCAAATTCCCTCTCATCTGATTAATCTGGTATTATTCTTCGTGTCGTTATTCCTTATTTCCTTGATCGTTGGTGTGATAGACAATGGTCTTCTTCGTCGCCGTTCGGGTTCAAATGTTTGTATTGTTAAAGGGAGTGGAATCAATGTCATATGACGATAAAAAAACAGTATGGGTATTTGAAGAGTTGAAAAGGGATTGAATAGAAGAGAAGAGAAGGAGAAGAAAGAGGGAGAAGTGAGAGAAAGTGAAGAATATAATGAATAGACGGTAAAAGTATTCACAAATTAAGAATCCATAAAAACAAGAGTGAAAAGAGTAAGATTGATTTGTATTCAGTATGGTACCACGGATAAAAGTAGTAAAGTTGTGAAATTGTGAAAATGTTGAAGTCAGTAAAATTGTAATAAGAGAGAAAGATAAAAAGTTAATGAAATCAATTCATTCATCCATCCAAAAGTTCAGGGTCCCCTATCCAAAACCCTTGGTGAGGAATTAGTGAGTAGCAAGTTACACCTGACTGCCTGCGGCATAGCCCCAGAATCCAAGCAATTTAGCGTCATTCCACCTTTCTAGCGCATCTTTGGTTTTATCTAGTGTCTATTTAGTATCGCTTTAGCCTCTTTAGCCTCTTTAGCCTCTTTAATTGACGCGGCGAATCATCATTTCCGACCCCGATGCCCCGACAAAGGGGGGAATTATAATAATTCTGTGAATTTTTCTGTTGATTGATTATCATATTTGTTGGTTTTTAATTTGATTTACTAGGTTTAATTGGATTTTCGTTGGATTTCGCTTGGTGTGATTGGGTAGATGTTGAAGAGATATAAATTCATTGAAAAGATATATCAAGTCTTTTTGAGGAGGATGAATAAGAGATTGTGAGAATTGATTCCATCGTTGAATCTACCCAACATAACATAATCAATCATTCACGGAGTTTATCCAGTATGTATTCAGTATCCGGTCAGTATCTAATCCAGTATCCAATCCAGTATCCAATAACCAGCCCCATCCAATTCTAGTGTTCCAAGTCCAAGTCCAACTTTAACCCCAACCCCAATCCAAAGAAACGGTCAATAGATCATTCCTTGACTTGAAGGCTTCGAATGGTTGCCTAGCTAGTACCGTAGTACAATGGTAGTATCATCATGTATCCTAAATATTTTTTATATCAACCAATTAACTAACTATCAATTACTCAACTCCTCAACTACTCAACTCTCACTCGCTCACTCACTCACTCAAAGCAAAACCCAACACAAGATCTTACAACATAATAACAATCCTCTAATATTCCCCAACTACTCAAGTACACTATAGGCCTAGTATTTCCCTCATCACTAATCCATCCATACTACCTACAGATCCATAATTATATATATACCTACCTAGGTAGGTATTCATAGTGATCATTGCCCCAGTACTTCTGTCTGTACTGAATACTCACTCAACAGTTAACACTCACTCAAGAGTCAATACACCACTACAACAACCCATCTTATCTAATCCAACCCACCTCTCCTCTCTTCTTCCGAGGTCAATAATACTTTTAAGATTCACACCAGGCAGGCATCTTCCATTCACATTCACATTTTCATTCTCATCCACCTTCCCATCCCACACCTACCTACACATCAAATTCCCACCCACCCAAACAAACCCAAAACCAAGCCCGCATTCGCATTCACAACCCTTCACATATACATCCCTTCCCTTCCCTTCACACCCGCACCCGCATTCATGAACTCACACACCCATCCATCCATCACTCAACCCCATCATTCTAACCCATCAATCAACCAACTCATCAATCGGATATCCCAACCAAATAATGCAGATACACTCTCCATTCCGTTTCCGCATACATGTAGGTACCTACCTATCTACCTAGGTAATCACACACTCACACTCCCACAATCACAATCACACACCGACCGTATCTCGTATACCGCATCCCAAACGGTTCGTCCGTACACCGCGCACCGATCACCGTACACCGTACATCGTACATCGTATATCCACTTCTACCTTCTCCTTCCACCTCCACTTCCCCCTAATAGTCTATCCCCCGACAAACTTTGATTCTTTTATTATTGGCACACCCAGAAGTTTACCAAGCATTCATTACGGAGTACACACACATTCACTCTCTCATAAAAAAGACTTTGTAATCGTGATTGATAATTCGTTATTCGTAATTCGTATTTTCATTTTTCATTTTGTTTTCTAAACTACCATAATACCAAAAAGTACTAAAGCATCAAGAATATAAGGATACTGTACAATGCAATGCAATGTTTTAAAATACCCCTGGAGAGAACCACCATCCACCCACCACCAATAGCTGCCTCGACAAATACCATCATCATTCATGCCATCATCGTCATCCATTCACCTCTGCATTATTTCCGCCGCCCATTTCAAAAAAAAGAAAGAGCAATTCTCGAAATGAAACATAATTCGATGCAAACAAGCAATTGTGTCGAGGACCTAAGAACCAAACCCAAAATTGGCCAGGCCAGTCAAGTACAGGACGGGCGCAGTAACGACGATGAGAACTGCGGGCACGGCTACAAGCCTAATTATCATGTTAAGGGTACCGATCAGCTTGGCGAGTCCAAATGGTTAAAAGGCTTAGGGGTATCATGTAAAGAACAAGGAAAAGATCAGGTCCAAAGGAAGATGTCCTTACGTGTGACGTCCGCCACCACATAATTTTCTAATCAGTCCTCCAATCCAATCCACGAATACTACTTGGAAGAATGCTCGAAGGAAGTTGCGGGATTTGGCGTCATCTCCGGCCGAGCGCATAGAAGAAGGCGTGATGGATCTGTCCGGTGCACTAGATGTCGGTTGTTTACGAGCTCTTAATTGGGAATCACCATTCTCTTCAGCGAACGAGGTGGTTTTGGCGGCATTCTCTTGAGAAACAGGTTTGTTGACCTTTGCATGCACACTCTCGGCTGGAGTTGCCGGCTGGACCGTAATACTTGGGCTATCCTTGTCGGTTTCTGCATTAGGAGTAACCTGAAGGCTTTCAGTGAGGTTAAGCGATTTGTTTTCGACAAAAGGAGTCGGGGGTAAAGCTGGTAGGACTGGATGAAGCTTGCTAGAAGCTTCGGTAAGTGTCATGGCTTGAGGCTGAGGCGATGAGCTTCGAGGAGTTGTGATGGTTGGCAGTTGAGATGGTTCTTGGGCAGCCCTGTCCGAAGCCTTGTCGTCGTTCAATTCACTCTTCTGTTCAGCTGCGTCTATTTTCTGTTCATCCGATATGTTACCATCACTTTGGGATTTTTCCACACTAGGCGGTAGAGCAGTTAGTTTGGATTCCGGTTCACCCTCCGCATTCTCCTCCACGATTGGAAGCAAAGATGGAGAGCTTTCTTGCGCAAGAGATCGAGGTGATGGTGTTAGTAGATCGCCATTTGTATGATTATTGCCATTTGCAACAGGTGTAACCGAAACTCCATCAACGTCTGTTTGGTCTTCGCTCAGTTGATTTGAGAGTCTTCTCACATGTTGCAGTATCTGATTGAAATTGTTGGGAAATGGTTCGAGGCTAGGATCATTTGGATCGAACTCTTGAAACATCGGTTCTGGCGCTGCCGATCGATTCTGAGTACTCTCGTACTCTAGCCGCTCTTCTGTGGTAGGAGGTCCATTACACTCGTGTGCAAAAAGTGGCGCCCGCTCCTCAAATGGCGTTTCGATGTCCAAATCACGATCTAAGCCATTGAAGCTCTGTAAGAGTGAATCTGGCTGAGGGCTTGGCAGGTCAATTGCATCGGGCTGCGAATGAAATTAGTGATCTATAAACTTACAGCACAAGCAGATGTGCACAACTTACTTTATAGTTTTCATCTACGAGAGCTGCAGAATCAGCAACCTCCGCAGCAGTGTCTGCGACTTCAGGAATCGGAGTATTCGAAAGACGTCTATAGCCAATCTTACCAGCATCTTTATCAGACATGGGAGGAGTTGGTGGTGTTTCATCAAGTAATGCAGCAGAGTCTGCAACCTCAGCAGCAACATTAGCAAGGTCTGGTGTAGTTGATTGTTGTCTGATGGTGACATGATCAGGTACAGCATCCTGGGCATGTAAAATATGTGCGTCCTTTTGAGCAAATGTTGCGGTACTTCCGAAATCGTCGCCAAGGCGCGGTTCAGAATCAATCTTTTCGACAGTTACCATGGGCGCCGATACAACTTCAGTTGAGATGCTGGGCTGCTCGTCGTCCTTTGCAATGCTCTTGGTACTGTCAACGGGCTCATTGAATTCATCCTGTTCGACAGTTTCCTGGTCGTGGCTTTCTCCGCCGGCAGGCTTGGTATCATTATTTGCTTCTGGTAGTACGACCGCCTCATCAGCTGGTAGTTCGATTGTGGAAGTTCCCTCCACATTATTTGCTTTGGAGCTAACATCTTGTTGACTTGGACTGACAGAGGTGGTAATTTCGACTTCGGTTGATTCCTCACTTACAATAGGTTCCGAGATCGTGTGCTCTTGTTTAGGTGCATCGTCAATTTTCTCTTCAACAACTTGTTCCGCTGGGCTAAAGCTTTCTGCCGTACTTTCAATGCTTTCATTGGAAATTGTGTTAGAAGCGGGAACCTCAGGGTTCTGGGGTTCTTCCTTCTTGGGTTCCTCGGCTACATTTTCAGTGCTTTCATCGGCGAGCGGAGAATGTGAGATGGGGTTTTCGGAGTTGCTTGTCTCAGGCTCATGGGTGAGCTTTTCCTCCACTTTCGCGTCACTAACCGCCAAGCCAGTTTCTTCCTTTGATTCTCCCTCGCTAGCATGTAGTTCTGGCTTTGATGTTGGTTCCTCCATGTGAGTAAGTACGGTCTCTTCTTTTGCCTCATGCTCGCTAGCTTGTGGTTCTTGCTCCGATTCTGGTTCCTTACTGGTAACATGGACGGGATCTTCTTGGTGTTCGAGGACTTCATCCTTGTTCGCACCAGCCTCTTCTTTTACTTCACTCTCACCAACAGCCTGTTTTTCGTTCAAATCTGAGTTTTCAGAGGTGACTGGAATGGATTCTTCCAATTTAACAGCTTCATCCTTCTTCGATTCAGTCTCGGCATGGAGTCCGTCATCGTCTTTACGTGTGACTTCTTCAGGTTCCAACACATTGCTGTCGCTAGCAGGAGATTCCTTGGCTACCTCACTAGCTTCTTGAGCTGATGAATCTGGTTGCAAGCCACGAACCTCTGTCTTCTTAGAATCCTCAGTTTCTGTATGAGCATGCGATTCCAGGATTTCAGGTTCATCAATTCCTGCCGTAGAGACTTCGAGCTCTTCCACTGGCACGCTTGACAGATCAAGCTTTTCCGCAGGAGCTTCACTTTCTGGCTTAACTGCTTGGTCGACTTCAGCAACAAGTGGGGATGCGTCATGTGTCTCTTCAGCTTTTTCTGGCTTGACTTCGGCACCATGGTCCAACGGGGAGTCTGCTAATGTATCTGCCTTTGGATGTGGGCTCTCAGAAAGCTTTTCCTCGGACTCAGTATGCTGAGTTGGCTCTATAACAGTTTCCATTGTTGATGGCTTCGTGTCAAAGTCAGGTAATGTGCGAGGAGTTGAATTTTCTTCATGTGATTTTTCGTTGGAGGTGGATTTGGATGGTGAAGGAGGTATGATTGGAACTGTGAGAAGATTATTCTGGTTCCCACCCTCATCGGTAACTGTGAAGAAATTGAATATTAGCTAGATACCAAAAATACTTTTTTTTTTCAATTGTAAGATTGAAAATGAATTAGTGAATTGCAATTTCGCTTCCATATGGCAATCAATTGCAAGTGAGATAAGAGATTGGTGTGGTTTTAGAATATTGATGATCAAGAGATACCTATTGAAGGAAATTCGACATACCAGTTGGTGCATCTTCATCCGACATCCACCAATCCCCATTACCAATCCTGAATTTATATTGATATTCTTTTCCCTGTTCCACCTCGACTGCCTTGGAGAATACATAATGATCCGAATCATTTGTATAATCCATCTCCTGGGGCTGCCATACTGATTCAGGAAAGGAACCAGCAAGATATATCGGTGGGGCAGCTCCCGGTTTGGAGTATTTGATGACAACCGAAGTCTTCGTATCCGCCATTTTGTCCTAGTATTCTGCAAGCTGTCATTACCGGTGTTCAATAAAGATTTAATCTTTTTCGGATCTTAAGAAAGAGGAGTTACCACTGCTTTCAAGAGGTTTGAAGATAAGGAAGTAATGTGAAGGGCGGCGAAAAGGAATAGTCCGCGAAAGAATGAGTACAAGTAGATAGGTAATTGAAAAGACCATGGAGGATTCTTGACATTCTCGAAGTAAAGTACCTAGTGAGCAGAAAAGAAAAGTACGGCAGGTTCGGAAACTGCCAGGATGCCAAAATAATTCACACGAATGAGAGAAGGAGCAGTGACGACATTAAAAGTGTAGCAGTAGGTAGGTAGGTACTAGGTAGAGAGGGGAAGAAATGAAGGAATAGAGGAATGGAGGAGAGGAGGAAAGGAGGGAAGGGAAGAACGGAAAGAAATGTCAATAAGCTCGTACGTACCTGTTTCTAACTGAAATAATCTGTTTGAGACTGGACTGGATAAACACTCTCTCCAAGAACTCTTACCAAAAAATCACTTTCAATGGGTTCTTGATAAAACTGAGAAGCAGCTTGATTTTGATCCTGAATTTGATACTTCACAACGATGCATGAATGGGGTGAGGTGAGGTAAAGTCTTGATAAGAGAGTTAGGAGTTATCAGGTAGCGTGTGGTCTTATAATTTTGATACGAGTACCGGCAAGTTGACAAGGCTTATCAGTTGTAGAGACTGATAGGACAATCGAGATATCAAATGAGATGACGGTAAATCGGGAATTGATGATGGATGATCTGTAACTCTATCTGTAATCTGTAATCTTGTTGGAGGAATGATGGAGGGATCCCAAAGATGAGATGAAGTACAAAGAAACAATGATTTTACGAGTCCAGTACGGACGGAGTATGAATTTGATGGTTGAGATTTAAAAGATTGGCAAAAAGTAAAACACCCACCCATGCCATGGCCACCCACATCAACCCATCAACACGCAACCCACAATAAAACAATCCATCAATCCATTCATCCATCAATCCACCACTCCCACCACTTTTAGAAATCCTCCGTTAGATATGCACGTCCTCACTCGTAATAAACTTCCAACTGCCACTCTGCTTCCATTGGACACACAACGTTGGAAGGAGAAAAGACCTGCTTCACACAGCAAAAATACCCTTGGAATATATGCACATGTTAACGAATCAGATGTATCGTCTCCACCTTCTATCTGTGCAACATTGTTGGCAGCCACATCATAGCTCACGCGCCACGCATCATTATCATTGGACTTGAGTATATGTAGAGAGAGAAATTCTCCAAAAAATGAGGATGCAATGGTAGTCTGTATATGCAGACCCTAGTAGCTGTTTGGAAAAAGAAGAGGAAAAAAAAAAAAATACGTTCAGTGTCTTTTCACTTGGCCTTTGGGGGAATGAAAGATATTTAAATGAAGTGAGAAGTGTGAGGAGTGAAGTGTGAGGAGTAAAGTGTAAAGCGTGAAATGTGGAGCGAGTCTGAGGTTGTCATGGAGTGAAGTGAAGTAAGTGGTATCGTGAAATAATAAATTCACTCGTGTGGACACTTCCGTCCGGTAGAGAAGATCTGGAGTATGATAGCCCACCATTAGCCCGCCATTAGCTTAACATCAAAAGTGGGGAAGCACAAGGATAGAGCTGTGAAATGTTTATGCTATGAATGTTTTTGAATGCCCTGACTGGTTCGTTAACCACAGCCAACTGGAGTAATGTCCGGACCAGGCATGTGATATTTCAGCCTCATGACGCAAGGCCACAATTTTATTTTTTGAGGCTGTAGCTCAATTGATAATTTTGAGACTGGAATGAACCTCAACATACATTAAAAACACCACAAACTTCAAATTACTATAGGTTTAATATCACATCTTTGGTATTTCAGTCCAGCATTTTACCATCCCAGCATCTTACATTATAAGTAATCGCTATATACTACTGTTTGATCTCCAATAGGGTTTGATTGCGCTTGTTTTGATATCCCTCTGGTTCCAGGTCGCATTCCTCCAAGTTCACTCAATCATGTCTCTACCACCATCAGTTATTCATATCAAGAGAAAAGCCACAGATTTACCCCAGGACTTTCTTCGTGAGTCAAATAAAAACTTGATCTCCTCAAACAATCAACAATCTAACCTTTACAGGTGTTGATGATGCGGTTACAAAACGACAACGTAGGACAACCGATTTTGTTTACTCCAGACAACAAACCCCACAAATCGAAAGTACCCCTTCGACTCCTCAATCAGCTCCACCAGGAAGACGCATTAAACCATTACATCGTTCTACAAGCTCTCGTTCTTTGGCTATCAGAACACAAGGCAAGAGTGAAGGAAATGGAAATATTCAACCAATAAATGAAATCAATAATGAGAATCAAGCCCTCAAAACTCAACCTCCGCTTGCCAATATTACTACAAAACAAAATGCAGAAGTAAACCACTCTCCGGGTAGCGTTCGACCTTCAAGTAGTGGGCGTCCATCGAGTAGTGGAAGTACGAAGAAACCAGTTCAGCAGCGACGATTTCATCTATCAAGAAGTGCAACACCGGCAGTATCTTCAAGTCCAGGCGTACGAAAGCGCAATGCTACCGTTTTTATTGAACGTCGTGTGCGACAAAAGACACAGGAAGAGAAGTGGACATCTGTGGCCAATGCTGCCATTGAATCAGAGAATGTTGCTACCGAGAAACAAGAACAAGAGGAAAAACCTCGAAAAAAGCCTGGCCGAGGTTCGAGAGTGCAAGTAGCATCTACAAAAGACAAGAAAGATACCAAGGAAACCACCGCACCTCAGTCAAAACCACCTTCCGCGTTAGTCAATCCTTGGGGTCTTGATACGGATGATTTGGCTGCACAGATGCAAGCTTATACACTACAAGAAATTGGTCGTAGTATTGCAGAATCTAAGGCAGAAGAGCCTACACCACCTTCACCAGTTCAATCCTTCCGCAAACCAGCATCATCTAGATTCAAGCCCAAGAAACCGGCTTTGCGCTACAAGGAACGTCATCCAGAGGAAAATGCTATGGATATTGACCAGGATCAAATGTCTGAAGTTGAGACTGAAGACGATATGGATACGGATACAGAATATATCATAGAGACATATCATCGTGTTCCTGCAGAAGATATCGATAATGAGGACAACAAGATTAATTTCGGTATCCTCGTACTTGATGCACAATCAGATATTGATGAATTTTATCAAGAATGGGATACAGATGAGGAGATAGAAGATGAAGCAGATGAAGATGAGAATGGTTTGTAGTCCTTTTTAAATCTCCCTAATCTTTCACCCTTATTAGACATGATATTAACCTATACCAAAGATGAAAATTACTACACAGCCGATTACCCGGATGCAGAGGTCGATTCGGATGACGAGTATAATAGAAATGCATATGCATATCGTACAGGCAATGCGTCGGATCTGGAAGAATTCGATGAGGATGATAGTGATGAGGATGAAATGGGATTTAGTGATGATGAAACCGACAAGTTAAAATATCCATGGCAGAAAGTTGCAGCACATGAACGAAGAAATCAAATGAATCGTTTTGCAAGTGGGGAGGATGATGATGAAGATATGGAGTAGAAGGAAGATGAGAAGGTGGTGATATGGAGGTTAAGAGGTGGTTTTGAGTTTGGAGGAGATGTAATGGAAGATGTGAAATGCAGATGATTTTATGCCGTAGCTATAGTGATATTTACTCCAGATGCTGAGTTCAAAGTCTCTTTTTTAATCTAGTACTCTAGTGTCACGATCCACCATCACGTGGGGCAAGTATGGATCACGTGATGGAGCCTCCAGGAGCATAGGCTCCTGGAAAGGACCAGTATATAAACATTCATTATTTTCATAGTATAGGAGCTTCGTGCTCAACCTAGTTATCAATTAGTCTACCTACGTTCTATTTGATCTAGTAACGAATTCACTTCCAAGTGAATACCCAGTGATAAAGCCTTAACCCATAACTACCAACCAGACGAAACCTTGGGCAGCCGCTGCCTCCAGTACAGTATCGTTACAGGTATTTAGAAGGGAAAGCTGGTAGGGCCTCTGTGGCCCCTGGAATTTTGATCATTAGAGGATGTTGTATTGGCAGTAAACAGCTACATTTGTCATATTCATTGACTCTGGTGAAGTTTTCTTCGACCTGAGGCGAGATCAAAGCATTTACATCTATACCGTATTGCGCCGAGAAAATAAAAGAGTTGCACAAACAAGTACTTAGGTAAAGATGTACAGATTGACTTCAAGAACAAATTGGTATGTGAAAATTTAAATATTGAGCCTACACACTATGCTAATCGCTCCCACAATTGATATCATCCCGGACTCCTTTTTTGAATATTAAACCCCTCCGAATTCATAAACTCATGGTATCCGTATGATCCTTTTCCATAGATGTACGTCTCCAATGTTCCATCTGTTAACCCCTACTATCTCTTCTTATTCCATGCATCCACAAATGCAATCTTATCCTTCACAGTCAACCCTACACGTTTAACTCGTCCTAATCGTGCCAAGGCTTCTCCAACTTTGTCCAAAACACGCTGTTCCTCTGATGTTGTTTCCACGGACTGGTCGTTTTTACATGTTAAACTATCAGTGCTGCTGGTGTAGCCAATGCCTTCGTTAACATTATCGAGTAGATTCTTCAGATATTTATTATCCTTCTTTTCCGAAACTCCATCGAGCTTGGAGGTATTGTATACAACCTCAGCGATTCGGACTTTGATACAGTGAGTAGGTTTTGAAAGAAGATTCCAGAAAAATGACCAGTAATTCCCCGGAATGGGTGTCGTAATATCTGATGGCGAGTATCGCAAACTTATTGGAAAGATTTTGGTTCCTGATGGAGCTGTTAAAAGACTTGCGCTCACGGGCAATATTCCTTTTCCATTTGTGGTTGTACATTCCGGGAAAACTACTATGGCTCTTCCGGGATAGCGATTGAGTAGAGCGGTTAAATCCGTTATTTTCGCGCCTTTAGGTGGATATTCTTGAGGACTTTGGAGTGCGCGAAAGATTGCGCCGAGGAGGGAAATTTGATGAATTTGACGGGTATGCGGGTATGATACTGTGAATATAGGATCGAAAATGGCAGCCAGATATAAAGAATCGAGAGGTGATGTAAATGAAGATGCAATGATATCCGACGGCTCAGGTACCCTTCCTTCATGTTTCTTTGCCAGTGAACCTTTCTTTACTCCATCAATCTGCAAATCTATCCACCAGACTCCCGGTATCCCAAGTATCATCCATAGTATTGCTTTTTTGAGTAGTGACCCTAATGGAAACCATTGTAGGAAGAGAAAATACGTCGTGGATACTGTGAGGAAGAATGGTAATTTGAAGAGGAAGAGAAAAAGGTGGACAGGTGCATATATGCCGGCGCTTGGAGTTTGAACGGGGAAGAACGGAGCGATTCCAGATCCTGGTGATTAATGCATTAGTTGGGACCCTCTATATTAGTAGATGTTATGTGGCATGTAGTACGTACCTCTGTCACGAAACTGCGAATATTTTTCCATTGTGATGATTTTTATATGTGCTGAAAGGTTGAACGAAGAAGTATTTATGCGGGATACTATAATATCATGACCGTATTGATGAATCAGCGACGCAATTATAAGAAATTATATATTCCAAGAAAGTATACTAAGAAAGTTGTAGATGTAAGTTGAATCGTATGTTTTCTGTATTTTTTGGAAATAATTATATGTAGGTAATAAAAATATTTTGGTGGGCAGAAAGTAGAGTACAGAGTATTAGATAATTAGATAATTAGGTAAGTTAACGTGGTTTATCAGTAACCGGAACATATCAGTAACCGGAACACTTTTACCTCAATTACCCACATTCCATTAAAATAAAATTACAACAACACCATAAATTAGGATTGAATTATATACAATCTAAAGATCAACTAATGCTGGATCGAACTGACAAGTTCGTGCATTATGTAAAGTACTACCGCATTTGCTACATCGTCGTATAGTAGCTTGCCTCCTTGCTGAAGAACCATCATTTGTATATTCGTCGCATCGTATCTGATCTTCTACATTCTCTTGTTCTAATATATTATGCCCATCTTCTATTGAAAGTGCTCCTCCTTTTCGTATTAAAGCTTTTCTAGCTCTCCGGCGTTTACTAAGTGCTTCATTTGCTTTGCGGAGACTATGAACCTCAGCAGTTAAAAGCGTATTCGCATGAGCTAGAAGCTCTGTACCCTTAGCTAAAGCTGCAACTGTTTCAAATATTGGAGTAGGTGAGCTCCCTTGATGCCGAGCAATACGACTTTTCACTAAAGTGGATTGGGAAAGAGCTTCAGTTGGATTGTGAGGTGTTTGAGATTGCCATATATCAGGATCGGCTGATATTGATCTATTTGATGGAGTTCTTATTCGAATATCTAGCTTTGAAAGTACAATTTCCGGATTAAATGGGATTAGCCCAGCTCCGCGGAACCCAGCTTTACTATTTGATATAGATATTGCTTCGATATATGCAGCTTTGAAGGCTTGAAAGAACTCGGTTTTGGTAATATGAATGATATGCGCCTTGATAAAGTTCTCGATTTGTCGATTATATGAACGCTTTAAAGGACCAAAACAACCGATATCGAGTGGTTGAGTTAAATGCGAAGAATGAGGTGGCAAACTAAGTAATATAATGTTGTGTTCCTTGCAGTATTCCTGAAATGCTGGTGATTTATGACTTTCATGCCCATCAAGCACTAGCATTCGATATCTACCCACTTTCCTACTTTCAGTATGTTTGTTGAAGTGCTTAATCCATTCAAGACCTGTCTCATTATCTGTCCATCCATTGGTAGTAGGTTTAATAAGCCAATCGTATGGTAAATCGCCTTCGGTATACCAATTTGAGAGGTGGTATTCGCCTTTTACTATCAAAAACGGAGGTATATTATGACCTTCTCCATCAACACAAATAATCGCTGTAGCCCATTCCCGATTGCCTGGCTGTATAGCTTTGCTTTTTCCATGTCGATCAGCTTTAGTAACTACTATATATGGTGATATTTGTCCCATCATAAAGCCTGTCTCATCGAAGTTGTAGAAATCGCAGTCTAGAATACCATATTTGGCCTGCATATTCGATACTAATCGAAACCATCTTTCAATAAGCTCTGAATCTTCGCAGAGAGCTCTTTGAAAGTCATAAACGCGATTAAAACGCGTCTTTAATTCTGTATGTCGTTTCACAAAGCGATGAGCCCAGAGCTTTCCAACCTTCTTCGCACCCCGCGTTTCGAGTATATAATTCGCCATATCTTCCACATCACTTATTCGAGGACTAAACCCTCTCTCGTCCATATCAATTATATATTGAAAAAGCGATTTCTCCTCTAATTCCGTCATTTTACAATGTATTGATCGAGATCCAGCTTTCGGCGTTCGACCGGCTATTCTGTAGGTAAGGGTAGTATGCGGTATATTATAGATTTTAGCAGCTCTTCGCACACTTAGTTTTTTGGATGAAGCAATAGCTTGAATGGCTAGATTAATTTGCGACTCTTGCATATTGATTTGAAAGGTTGAATATGGATTTAACGCGTGTTAAAGTTGAGAGGTGGTAATTGAGGTAAAAGTGTTCCGGTTACTGATATGTTCCGGTTACTGATAAACCACGTTACGTGCTTCTAACTTTTGACACGTGAAGATGACATCCCTCGTTCTACATGGTGTCCAGATATACATAATTTTGATGGATGACAATTTATTAGTGTTCATAAAATGTGCATTAATAAGTCTGAGTGCATAAAATGGGCATCAAACCTTTTCTTGTTTTCGGATCTCTTAGTCATCAACCTTCTCCCCAGCAACCAAAGCTTAATTGAATAATTGAATGAATAAACAGAACAAGCTTTGAAAAAACGACCAAATATTACATTTATCAATCAACAACAACGACAATTCGCCCTTCGACGCGCTACTAACCATTCACCTCTTTTTCTATTTGCATGTCCTATTCAATTTAATATTGTGTAGCATCCGCTACTTCTTGTAATGGAATACGAAGAAGAAAACCAGGTATGATCTTCATGTCAATAAACAATTCCTTGAATGGACAACTGATCAGGAACTTTCCTCATTAAACAGTACCAGCGCACGTCGCAAGCCAAACTTACAATGAGTGCCATTCCTTCTCTAGGAAAGCCCCTAGCAGAAATCACAGACTCTCATGGCAATGTACGATCACGACTCCCCTCAAAGATGCCGCAACCTACAACTTTGAAGCGTCAAAGTGACAAGTCAAACAATGAACCGGCACCTAAACGCAAGACTCTTGCTGAAAGAGCTGGAGAACCTGTGACTACATTGGCCCGAACACCGTCTGTACGGAAGCCATCAGTGAAGGGTACTTCTATAGTAGACGTGAGTCTGGCCTCCTCTTGATTGAAAACATCCATTGACACATAGCAGATCAAGAACAGTTTCTCTCAACCACGAAATGCGTCCTATGCTTCTTCAGCGTCATCCCGAACACCTTCAGTATCTTCACGTCACACATCAAATAGCAGTTTCTCACAAAGTGTCGGACCTGGACGACCAAGGTCAGCTTACGGCTCACGCCCACCCTCATACAGTCAATCTACAACATCAAGACCAAATACATCTCAATCCAAGGGTCGACCCAATGCCTCGAAGGACTCAACATCTTCAGATGATGACGGTATGCCACCCCCAGGAGGAAGACGAAAGCCTATGCTCCCAGTACCTGTTACTTCTTTCAATCAATTAAATGGAGACTCGGGTTTGGAAGTCATGAAAGTCAGAGATCATCATTCAATCAACCCAATGAGATCTCTACGCTCCGAGGAAAACCTACGTGATCTATCCGTTAGTACGGCATTGAGTAGGCTTCAAATCAATGACGAGCAGACTAATCCATCCGCGGGACATGACCTGATTTCATCTCCAAGGAAGCCTTTTCGCCTTCGACACAAATTTTCCCGAAGCGTAGGAGCTCGGAGTATGAGAGTAGACAATGAAGAAGCCGCACTTGTTCTATATCAGGCACCGGATTATAGCTCAGTAGCTCCGAAGACGCCTTCTCACATTCCTGTTCTTGCTAAGTCGGAATTTTTCACTTCTACACCTGTCACTCCTTGCAAAAATTCCAAATTTTCCCCAAAGAAAACTCCATATATATCAAAAGATTCTAATGTTCCTGCTTTGGTAGCGTTTGATGTACGTGGTCGCCTCGAATCAATGGAAGCAATGTATGCCAGGCTCGCGTCAACAGTCGATGGCACAGGCAAAGATCACGATGCACTTAGAAATGCAGTCAGTGAATACAAATCTAAACGTGAGTAGCATTTCGGAATCTTTGTATCGAATACTGGCTAATCTGTTCCTTTATGACAGTCGACGAACTTGAAGGCCTCCGAACACACCTTTCGTCTTCCAACCAGACTCTCCAAGCTAACCTAGATGATACAACCCAGAGGCTAAACATGATACAGCAGAAATTACTCGAGACGACAAACACCCTGGATGACAACATTCGAGCGCACCGCCTCGAGATGGACGACGTGAATCGAAACCATCGCAACGAGACTGATAAAATGAGACGTGACAACATGGATGAGATTGACCGGCTTATTCGTACTCACAGAAATGATATGCTTGAGCAAGAACGAAAGGCAGCTATCGAACTTGACGACCGAGTCCGAATTATCGAGCGCCAAAACGATGTAAAATTGGAGGAGGAGAGAAATCGAAGATTACGCGAGGTTAAGGAGCTCGAAAGCCAAGTTTCTACGGGACACCAAGGCCTAAACCTTGCGTTGCAGATGAAGGAGCAAGAGTTTCAGACTCTAAAAATGGAGCTTGAAGTATTGAAGACAAATCTTGATCGAGAAAAAGATTTGAAGGAAAATGCTCTAAACACTATCAAGGAGGTGCAGCAAACCATGCAAAAGACTGGCGTGGAAACATCGGCAACAATTGGTACACTGGAAAGCACGGTTGCCAGTCTCCGCGCAAGGATTCACTTTTTGGAGTCCGGAAGCAAAGCACAGTCCGATAGTTTTGTAGAGATGGAGGGTAGACTCCAGGAAGCTCTCAATTCGGCAGAGGAGTCCAAGAAGAAATTGATCAAGGAAGAAACCCTTCGTCGCATCCTTTTCAACCAAGTACAGGAATTGAAAGGAAACATTCGAGTCATGTGCAGAGTACGACCAACATTTAAGGAGGGTGCGGAGGGTGAATGCGCAAAAATCTCATTTCCAGACACTGATAAAGAGTCAAAGGAGCTGACAATTATCGGCAAGGAGAAGAGGAGCAATTTTGGAAAGGTCTCAACAGAAACTCATGCATTCTCCTTCGACAGAGTGTTTGGACCAACAAGTCAAAACCAAGAGGTTTTTGAAGAGATTTCTCAATTAGTCCAAAGTGCTTTGGATGGATACAACGTTTGCATATTTGCCTATGGTCAGACGGGTGCTGGAAAAACACCCCCAATGTCATCTGCCGATGGTATGATTCCTAGGGCCACTCTTACCGGTCTATGAGACCGCTGAAAGTCTCAAGGAGAAAGGA